TGTGTGTATCTTTGTATATTTGTATATATATATATATATATATATATATACAGTATAGTCTCGTCCAACTGACTATGAGATGAATGGCATGGACCACACGTACGTTGTGTATATCGCGAGATTCTCAAACTCAACGCTGTTGTGCCAATTGTATCTATAGTCCTATTTCAACCCCTGTTGCGCGTTCTGTTGTTAATATTGAGTACGGCTACTTTACCCGGGGATAGTGTCGTTGCGAACCAATCACCAGTACGCACGCCTGTCGCTGTACGTTCCCGAACCATGCGCACCAATCCCGATTTCATCTCATCCACATTTACAATCCCAATCCCGATTCTCTGGCCAATGCCCCTTCCAGCCCCTTCTGCGCATCTTGCCGGTAGACGTCCTGTATGGCTACTTCCTGTACCTGGGGGTGGCGTCCTTACAAACCAACCACCTGTACACACGCCTGTTGCTGTGGTTCATGCAGCCAGAGAACTACCCGCCCTCCCACTATGTGCGGAGGGTGCCTATAAAGACCATCCATCTGTTCACCTTGTGCCAATTCGTAGCCTTTCTGGTGCTGTGGTTCGTGCATGATAACTTCTATCTGGGCGATGACCTGCTGGTGCCTCCGGCCTTGTTCTTCCCGGTGGTGGTCTTCCTATGTGTATGTATACGTGTTTGTGTAGGTATATACTTGTTCGGATATTTATTTTATGTGTAATTGTTTGTGTATGTTTGTGTTATGTATAGTTGTTTTGTGTATATATATTTATGGATACATATCTACTTAGTTAGATACTTGCTCGTATATTTATTCATGTATAGTTAGTTGTATACTTATCAATATGTATACGTATTTAAAAATGTGTATGCTTGCTCGTTTATTTATTTTTATGTGTAGTTGTTTGGGTATATTCATGTTATGTATAGTTGTTTGTGTATATAAAATTATGTGTACATATCTATACAGTTGTATACTTGCTCTTATATTTATTTTATGTATAATTGGTTGTAGATTTATCTATTTGTTTTCAAATCTATATCGCTACATGATTGCTCGTATATTTATTTTATGTATAATTGGTTGTAGATTTATCTATTTGTATTCATATCTGTATCGCTACATGATTGATCGTATATTTGTTTTATGTATAATTGTTTGTGTATATATATTTATTTTACGTATAATTGTTCTATGTATACCTTTATGCATACATATTGGCCGTCTCCTTGGTAACGGCTCATTGCCTTTCTGACACGGTAATAGCTACTGTCTGAGTGACGATATGGTGGTACCCGGTGACAGTCTTCGTATGTGTAACTCTTGTGCTATGTTTGCATGTTGTATGTGTATATGTGCATGTTGTATGTGTATATGTGCGTATTGAATGTGTATATGAGTGTATGCCCAGTTGTTTGTCTACTTGTTCGTTTGCGAGGTTGCACGACATGTACTGGGTTTTATTTTTCGACTAAACTTATTGCTTTAACATATTGTTAGACTGTACCTACACATAACATATAATTCGACTTTACTTAGTCTATGACCGTGTATACATATACAAGTAGACTGACAGAGAAGGTCTGTTATACGGATCCGTCCTAGGGATATACTTGGCATTGTTTTTCCGAGCCTTCCGCGTATGATCACGTTTGTCTATGACAATGTATACGTATACAAGCAGCCTTGTCGTGAAGACCGTGTATAGTGGTACTTGCTAGGGATATGCTTTGCATTGCTTTTGCTTTTGCAAGCCCAGGCCATGCAGACTCAGTGTTACTTACCGTACTCTTTTTTTCTAATAATAGATACCGGTTAGGAGATACCTACTTCCGGTGTGGTTCGAAGAGAAGTATCTCAAGGTATGGCTGGATTTACTTGTGTGTCTGTGTCTGTGTCTATTCGTTACATGTATACCTGCATGCATGTATACATTCCTACCATGAAGATGCACATATACCCGTTCATGTACATGTATATATGTGCATGTTCATGCATTCACTCGGATGTATTGCGCACGTGGACACATACACCTTTGATTCGCGCAGGTATAAACAGAAACAAACGCCCAACAATCATACCTACTAAAACGCCCATTGAGCGTGGTATTAGTGTCCATACCCATACTCGTATGCGTAGTTGCACTCACACTTCACCTTTATATGTACAATTAAAGAGGCTATGGATGCCATAGATCCCATCACATCATATGCGTTGAAAACATTGCACTCCAGCTTTGGTTGTGCGGAGGGTGTCCTAAAATGCCACAGATGACTGGAGTCCAGTCGATACTCGTACGATACACATACGCCCCAGACTTTAAAACTGCGGTGCACGAATGCCATAGATTGTTGTTGTCTCAAACATTGGAGGATGCCCCCTGAAGTGGCGCGAATGGGTCTGAACACTACCCATCTGTCATAGTCTGTGTGTTAACTATCTAGTATACGAAGTCTGCAAACCCCTATCTCCCCCCCCCCCAACGCCCTAAAAAAAAAGGCACAGACTTCATACACACTTCATCAAGTACATCTACGGTAGATTCATGTGTTTACTTGTACACGAAGTCTGCACACGCAACAACAACAACAGAAATGTTACATATCGCATACTCCCTTCATTTGTTAATCTATCATACCAACAGTCGATTCTGACCCAGGATGAACCCGAAGTGGTGCCTTCGACTCTCAATTGGGTGGTGAAGAAGAAACCAAGTACCAAAACAAAAAAGGCCACAGATCTCATACATACTCACTTTCACTACACCTATCATTCTATTCTCTTTACTTTCACCCACGGACCACGGTAGATCCTGACCGAGGATGAACCCGAAGAGGTGCACTCAACCCTCAATTGGGTGGGTGGGGCGGCCCGTGACTCGTTGCTACCACCAGACAACGAGAACAGCGAACACCACAGACAACAGCACCAGAACGCGCGACTGTCGCTCCATTCCCAAACAAGCACTCTCGGGGGCAAGCACGAGGTGTGTAGGGGTGTGGTTGTACTTGTGAGTTTGGGCTATATAGCTGTGTGGCTGTGTGGATGTTTAGATATGTATTTTTGTGTGTGTGTTTATGTATGTACGTATGTATGTGTGAATGTGGAAAATATGTATGTATGTATGTACATATATATGTATGTATGTATGTATGTATGTATATATGTATGTGTGTATATATGTTTGTATATATATATATATGTGTGTGTATATATGTATGTATGTATTTATATATATATATATATATATATATATATATATATATATATATATATATTATATATATATATATATATATATATAGTATAGTTGTAGTACGTTAGTACGTAGTTAC